TAATAGTTTTATAATCATATTTCCCGTACGTTTTCATACTTATTTTCATTGGACATTTGACGTCATTAACTATTCTGCTTGGATTTGTGCGCTTGGCAACGTCAAACTCTGATATCGTAACTCTGTTTGTGTCTGTCGTAATTTCAAATTAATATATCACTTACCAGAAGCAATTAAAAAAGAAAAAGAAAATCTTCGCGACGCATTTTAAAAGATCTAAAATATAGTAAATGTATAATATGGGTCTGTCGTCGTCTTCAGAAAATGTGATTGCTTTGGTGTACAGTACTTTAGCTAGTCTAGTAGAATTTTTCATATGCACGGGAATTTGTACACAAGTATTCCTAGTCTTGATTTCAGTAAATGAAATATTTACAAATACAACACGGACTATAAAACAAACTTATAGTTCATTTTGTTTATGTGACATTTTTCTTTTCTTTCAGATGATGTATGTAGACTTTTTAGAAAGATGGTTTGTTCGGTATATTAAAACACTTATTGACTGGTTATGAAGGCGATAGCAAGTTTGTTGTCGCTTTGATACTTACTATTGCCCTCGGCTTCGCCTCAAGCAATAGTTGGTATCTCAGAGACAACAAACTTGCTATTACCCTCATAACCAGTCAACAGGTGTATACTGTTGGCACCGACTAAAATATGAATCAGTACACATCCAACTAGCAACCAATGAAAAGTTGATCCAGTGTTACAGCCAAAGCTGGTGTGTGAGTAATGAGATCGTCGCTAATTACATGAGTAGCTATTTGCTTGGAGGAGCCTGAAATTTCCATTTGTGAAAAATATTAAACATACAATCATTTTACACTCATCATTCTTATTTTTTTATAAAAAATATTGTTGAATTCTAAATTTTAACATGTTTGTTCAAGAAGAAAAATGAAAAAAAGAAAATGTTTTCTTTGTAAAGTTGTGGAAAAAAATACATAAAAGACTTTGAATTTCAAAAATTAAGTCTTGCAATAATATTTTTTTTTATAAAGGACAAAACATGTGTTTCGAGAAACCCTCCCCCAACTATACATTAACTGTCCGTGCCTTTAACACAGGGGCAGAATTCTTTCTTTCATAAATACCGATTAAGATTGTGACTAAGTTGGCTAATTTGACTCAGGACAGATTTCAATATATAACACTGTGGTGGATAATTAGATTCTTGGATTGTAAAATAGCAAAACAGAATCTCGGTCTATATCTTTATTCAAATATACAAATTTTGAGACAGGAAAGTGATGCATTTGTAATATTATTCTTTTGAATTGAGATAATTATGTATTGTATTGTATTACTTCAACTGTAATAAAAATTACAGAACATTTTTTGTATAAATTTATTTTTTCAACTTTGGAAAATAAGGGGGAGCAACTCATATAACCTTACTTTTACTACAAAATATTTACATGAATTACACCACTTTCCGCAAAATATATTTTTGTATAGTTTTAGTATGTTGTTTATAGATAGTAACAGACTTGTTTTTCATAGAAAAACTTTGTGTTGCAATTAGTTGCAGGTTGTTCACTAAATTGACTAGACTATATATGATCATATATAGATAACGTTCATTGAAATCCAAAACGTTACAAAAGACACGGGCATAGCGAATGAGTTGGGATATATAAACACCGTAAGATGGTGCCAAAGGAACATCAACGTCCAAAAAAGGAAAATTAACAATAGGGAACGAAAAAGCGTCCCTTTTGTCGTAGATTTTAGTGTAGAGTTTCCCGTGTAAAACTGAAATATCTAAATCTACGAAAGGACAGTTATTACTGTTTATATTTGATTTATTTAAAGTGAGTTCCTTTGGGTAAATTTCGGCAGTATATTTAGAAAATTCTTGATTATTTTAAAATATCATCAAGATAACGGTAAGTGTTGTTGAATTTATCGATTAAATACAATTTAGACGGGTCTTTACTGAGTTTGGTCATAAACTGTGATTCATAACAGTACAAGAACAAGTCTGCTATTAACAGTACGGTATACCAGAACCCAAAAGGCATAATGCATTTAGTTATTGTAGAAGCTACTATTAACTGATAATTTTCGTGGTTTTCAAGAGTTGGGAAATCCAGTCTTAAATTTATTATTTCGACTGGAATAAATATTACAGTATATGTTCCTTCCTAACTGAATAAACGCAAGGAGTTGTATATTTAAATATACAATTCCTTGATAAATGGTATAAAATATTTGTTCCAACAGGAACAGATATTATGACATTGTTTATAACAAAGTTTCTAGTGGAACATCTGTTAGGCGGAACAAATATATGTAGGCGGTTCCAATTCTTAAGAAATATACTACGTAATTCTTTATATTTAAACATGAATAAAAGGAAATGTGGTGTATACCTCAACTATACAGCAACCAAACAACATAGAAAACCAAACTGCATCATTTTTTTTCAATTTTCCTGAGAATTTAAAAAGCTTAAGGTTTCTGTGGAAAGGAACACAACTCTTTAAAATTACTGGGCAAGCCAGGTTTATGTCAACCCTTTTCAAGAACAAGAGTGCACACGTTGAATGGTAGCCTGCTTTACTTATTATAATTGAACTTATGGTGAAAGTTTGTAACATGAAGGTATTACTATGCAAGTATCACATACTGTAAATTTAGAAATTATTGCTAGGTTTTTATTGACCCAAATAATTCGACTGGGTGAGTATCTCAATAATAAGAGCCAGCATTCTGATATCTGATGCATATATCTGTATGCAGCTTTTCGAGAAATCGCAATAATTAATCGCGCATTTTTGTTCATTGTTCAAAATAAATCCCAATAATGAATGCAGTCATAATTACTGAATTTACAGTAATCTTTTCAGTATCAATGATCCACATAAATGAGGCCAATGTCAGATATATATTGACACCTTACAATCATATCATACACAAAATATAGTTAGCCTTTTGCTTATACCCCTGAGAAATAGACCTAATAACAAAATAAAATTGTTAACACAGAGATATGCCTCACCTTTTTGTTATTTTGATAGTAATATGCTAATGTTGAAATTAAAATAGCGATACTTATGAACCATGACTGACAGTACAGGGCCAAACATTCTCCATGAAAATGAGATGTGCCAATGCTAACACATATGCATACAAATATCATTGACCTACCACTAGCGGTTCCCCATAAACTGACCTAATCACACAAACTTATAATGTAAACTAAGCAAAAGTTTCAAAGTCAATAGACCATGACTGAGGGGGTGGGCCCATAATAATCTCCATGGAAATGAGATGTGCTAATGCTGATATAACTGCATACCAAATACCATTGACCTACCAATAGTGGTTCTCCATAGACTGACCTAATCACAAACTATTACATTGTTGATAAAGCCGACGCTGCCAGAAACAGCATACCTATGTCTCACTTTTTGACTCCATCAAGGCGAGACAAAAACTGAACATTGACCAATGAATGATAAAAATAAAGACAAGGTCAGATGAACCCTGCCAGAAAACATGCATACCTTGGATCATTTCAAATACCAAATATAGTTGACCTATTGCTTATAGCATCTGAGAAACAGACATAACCACGATAACTTAATGTCGACCCATGAACACTGAAAATGAAGTCAAGACATTCCATACACGAAATATAGTTAACCTATTGCTTATAGTATCTGAAAAACACAAAACCACAAAAAAATAAAATAGACCAATGAACCATGAAATGTGGTCGTCAGATGAACCCTACCAGACAGACAGGTACACCTAGCAATCATGCCATCTACCCCATATCCTTTATTTTTCTATTATACACCATTTATAGTTGATGTATTGCTGATAGTATCTTAGGTACTGACTTGACCATAAAAACTTAGCCTTGATCTCTAATCCATGAAAAGAGGTCAAGGTCAGGTGAACCCGATCTGATAGAAAAGTAGACCTTGCAAGGTTCCCATATACCAAATATAGTTATTCAATTACCCATACATGTAATAAGTATTTCACATGACAAAAAAACTTTTAAAAAAATTCAAGAAGTAGCTGAACCTTGAAAATGAGGTCAAGGACAAAGGACATATGACAGACAGAAACTATGTAACAAAAGGCATCTGCATACAAGATATAAAGCATTCAGGACTTCTACCTTCTGAAATATGTAGCTTTTTAAAAATAATTTACTTTGTCACAGCCCAAAAGTAATTCCTATGTCTCGCATACTGCAACTTTCATGACATATAAAAGACATTAAAAGCACATAAAACACTGCTGAAACTGAATATTGCATATGCATTTCTGATTAAAAGATAGATCTCCTTTAAATTCTGTGAAAATGTCAGTCACTTTATAAAAAATTAATTATGATTGCTTAAAGGCAAAATTATGAAATGGAAAAAAGTTGTGGCATATTGCAAAATGAAAGGATGAATATATAGCCGACTATACAGTATGGGTTTTTCTCATTGTTGAAGGCAGTTCAGTTGCCTTTAATTGCTTATATCCACTTCATTTGAACTCTGGTGGATAGTTGTCTCATTCGCAATCATACCACCTCTCCTTATCTATATATATATAAATGAAAAATCAATAATCTTTTTTTTAATCATGACTGTTAATATAATAAAAAATAATCTTATCATCTTTCAATCAAATTCAGTGTCTGTTCAAAATGAAGTTACCTATAAAGTCCATCCTTTATCATACAATTCTGTTACTTCTACATCAAAACATAGTTAGAAAATTGTAGTTAATTGACAGTAAATCATTTTGTGTCAGAATAAAAATGCTGACTTGACCATCAAAACTTAACCTTGATCTCTGATCCATGAAAGAGGTCAAGGTCAGGTGAAACCGATCTGATGGACATGCTATTGTGAACTCTCCCCTGTTAAAACAATCTTTGCACCATGATAATCCAACCTTTCCAGTTATAACCATCCCTAAAGGGTGCAGACTATTTTGTAACCGATATTGTCCATTCACTTCACATGAAATCTTACAACAAATTGATCTGCAAGTTTTTAATTGTTTGTTAACTTACAAAAAAATTCTTAATACAAATTTTTTCATGAAATAGAATGTAAATATATAAGCAATAACCATTCAGGAGTGTTAAACAAAGTTAAATCATAAATTAAAAATTCACTTACAAGGGAGACAATTTAATAATCCTTGGATAACAAAGGGACATAACAAAATAAAATCAGTTAAAACAGTTCATAACAAATCTATATGTTCACCAGAAATTTACATATTTTTTACATAAAATTATACACTTTTGAACATTAAGTGCAAGCATACAATATTTACAGCAGGTTTTGTTCATGATAGATGTTTACACTTTCATACTCGAGTTTTGTAATAGAAAGGATTTGAAACCTTAAATAAAGTGAAATAGTCAATGCCAAAAAAAAAACAAAAACATATCAATGTTGGTTAATTGTATTGATAAAATGTTTTCTCCATGAACATTTCTTTTAATTTATTTCAATTTTGTTATCCCGGATATATAATGCCAACTTCAACAATACGTGATATGTTGCCTTCTTTTCTGTTTTTTTTTAAAGTAACAAGCTTAAGACAAGGCTTAAAATAAAAAAAAACTTTTAAATAAATATTTCATATTCTTTGTGAAAAAAAGTGTCCAGAATATGAGGTGACCCTGCTACATGTGTAAGCAAATCCAACAAAAAGTAAGTGTTTAAATTAAACTCTTTACAAAGAAGATCTGTAGTGTACAATGTCTTAAAAAATAGGTCATGAACAATTTTAATTTATGGCCATTGGTAGATTACCATGATTTAGATATACAACCAAACATTTATTCATCATTATCATATTTAAAGAAGAGGTTCAAGGACACGTTTTCTGACAATTATTCATTACTTCACTACAAGCAACTTTATACTGATATTCTGTAAATTCAGAAATTGTTGCGTGCATTTATTATTGTGATTGTTGAACAATGCAGTGGCGGATCCAGTGGGGGGGGGGGGGGTTCCGTGGGTTGTAACACCCTTTTTTTTTTTTGGACGATCAATGCACTTGAATGGGGACATATGGTTGGAACCCCCCCTTATCCTGGGTTGGGAACCCCCATTTTAAAAATGGGTGGATCTGCCCCTGAAATGGACATAAATGGGAGATTAATTATTGTGATTTCAGGAAATGCTACATTATAATAATGCTACAGAAGATTAAAATGCAAGTTCTTATTTTTGTGGAACCTATCCCATCGCAATTTTTGCAATAATAAAAACATTGTAATAATTTCTAATTTACATTAATTTGTAAGCACTTATGTTACATACCGTTTAATATTGATTTTCAACTATCTAGCAAGCACCTGCTTTGCATACGTTTTCCACATTTTTTAATTGCTTCATAACTAGTATACTCATATACAGATACAGATTGTTTGTAAATTTTAATTTATAATGACTTTATATCTTGACCAAGTTCATCAAAGAATGTCATCTGCAATAACTTGAAATACAAATTACCCTTCATTTCATTATGCAAAATAAGCACTACTATCAAACTAATGAGACATTTAGCATTCATAAATTCAAATAGAATTTAATGGTATATATATTTATATTTCATTCTCTCTCCCTTTTCACAGACACATAATGTATCAAAACAATATCTTCTTATACTTTGCCAGTTTTTAACAACCTTAGCATAATTACCATTCATTAAATTGTCTAAATCATTTTTTTTTTACAGCAGAAATTATGTCTAGATCTGTAAAGATGATATAAAGATTTCTTGACAAAATGAACATATAACAAGTGATTGTTAAATCTTTAAGTACAATCTAATAAGTGAATCCTGAGGCACTAATTTAAATTTTGGTGCACATGGTCCCAGTTGAGTTTAATAAGCATAGTACACCCAAAACTGGTTGAACGTACAATATTTCTAGCAAGAGTTTTTTTACACTGAATGGCAGCGATTGATGATATTCATAAGGTTTTTTATGAAGGGGTTGAAAAGAAGAGTGTTATCAGCAATCAACCAGTTTAACTGTGATTCATTCAACACAAGTAAAAATGTTATTATTGAATCATATTGTATATATGCACTGTAGAGAAAGATACTATAAGCCTTATCGTTTATTATTAACAACCTTCAATTCCAGATTTTTAATTTTTTAGTTGTCACTGCTGTTTCTTACAGATTGGTTTTTAATAAAATTTCTGTAAAATCAATTCACAGACTTAATGCACCATATTTTGTAACAGAAATCTAACAAAAACATAGCTAATGAAACTCAAGACTGGATTATCCCAGAAGAAAACTAACTGTTCTGAACATCATATTTGTTTTGATTTTTTATTACTTTCCATTCCAAAATTTCATAATTCAAATGCAGTTTTTACAAATTTTTCTTATGGGCTGGTATTTCCATATCAGCATATTTGTTTGCACACTTCTTAAGAACTTGCTCAGGAATAGGTTTCATATAGGACTCTAAATTTTCATAGAATATATAAAAATAAGGAGATGTGGTATGATTGCCAATGAGACATCTATCCACTGGAGACCAGATCAACAATAGGTCACTCTACTGCCTTCAACAATGATCTAAAACCTATTTTCTTTTAAAAAAACAATAAGTTTTATCTCTGCTTAGAAATTAAATCTATGGCCTAAAAATAACTTATATACTATAGACCGTTAAATGTACTTTCATAAAAGAGAGACAACTCTTACTGGAACATCAAATAGAGAACAACCTGTAGTGAAAACGTAATGATTAAGTGGATGATTTCATTAACATTTCTGTTGATTAAGGGGAAGATTACAAATAAGCATTCTATTGGAGCTAATAATTTAATGCAATTTATAGTTTCACATATTCTTTCACTTGAAATCTCCCCTGACATACATAACGCTCATAATTTAAGAACTCTTTTATTTTTTAATCTTCAAATGAAAAGAAATGAGAAACTGTCAAATGACTGTCATGTGATAGTTACTTACTTCAACATTTCCACAATAGAACAAATTAGTTATGATGATTTGTATGCTAAACATGAATTTTACTTTCAAAATAAAAGTAGGTTTTCACATACTATTGTACAATTATTTCTGTCGGACAGGTAGCTATAACAGAAACGCCAATATAATATACTAGTAGCTGCATTGTAGAGTACTATTTACAAATGGTAAAAATTGACCATAAAAGTAAATTATCAGGTTATAATAGCAAGAAACGCACAGTGAAACCTGTCTTAACCAAACCATGTGTAAAAAAAGTCTTGTCAAACTAATGAGTCAAGCCCCTTTCTAACTGATTATTACACTTTAGGGCTATTCTGTTAAAATGTATGTTGGAGGGTAGGAAGGGAAGTTTAATTATTGAATGTGGGTCATGGGTCTTTTTTCAGTATGTGTCTATTACCATTATGAAAAATTATCTAAAAAATGGTTCTTGGTTGTAGGGATATTTTGAAAGTCCCTTCCTACCCTCCCACATACATTTTAATGGAATAGCCCTTATTGTTATGTTGTGTTGTTACCCTAATGTCCTAGGTTTGAGGGAGGGTTAAATACTCACAAACATGTTAACTCCACCACATTCTTTATGTGTCTATTAAAAGTCAGAAACCTGTTGTCCAATGGTTGTCTTTGGTTGCAATTGCTTACCATTAATGGTTTTGTTGTTGTAGTATAAATAAAGCAGTTGGTTTTCTATTTCAAATCATTTCAATTTTGTCATCCCAAGCCTTTTTCAGATGACTTTACAGTATGGGTTTTGCTCATTGTTGGAGGCCTTAAAGTTACCTGTGATTGTTCACATCTTTATCCTTTGTCTTGACCTGATAGATGTCTAATTGATCTTCTATCAGGACATAAGGTGACAATTCTTTAATAATTAATCTTGTGAAATCCAGACGAAATCTTTTAGTCCAAACATGGCTTGGTTAAGACAGGTTTATTGAATTTCAAGGTGAAATATAAGTTAAAGGAAGCACATACATAATTATGTAGTGATTATGCAAAATGAGCTGCCAGCCCTACCTTTCAGTCATAAATAACAAATGAATAAAAATTTCATATTTTGCCATCGAGGACATCTACAAAAGTAGATGACAATATGGAGGCTTTGAACTGCAGCCAGGTTTTATTTTTCTATTATCAAAGTTTGAATAACATACTGTGAATTCATTATTATTCGTGTGATATCAATTTATCGTTAATTTTGAGGGTAAAAGTTAACCCAAAATTTAAATGTTTTATGAAGTACAAATGTTCTATAGACTTGTATGCAGATTTTGGCAAAACCACAAAATCAATTATCAACAAATTTTTCTCCAATCCACGAAAATAAATAAATCCACGAATTTTTCTCCAATCCAGATCCAAGAAAATAAATAAATCCACAAATTTTTCTCTCATCCACGAAAAATAAATAAATCCACAGTAATATTATCAATCGGACCATGAAATATTTACATATGTACTCATTCAGAAAAAAACACAACCAAGATTAAGTGTCATACGTTCATACCTTTGAACACAAAATATTCCTTCTTTTTTTAGAAATTAGCACAAACACACTCATACATTGATAATTACACTTAGAACAGATTTTCAATCTGCTGACTATCACACCATGCTTCAATCATAAAAGATGAAGTGAGGAAACCAATAAATTTTGAAGCCCTTTTTCTGTAGGGTTCTAATGCATCAATCCTGAACAAAAAGAAGGCAAAAATAAAGTGAAAACCAGTCCTTGTTTTTAAGTGTTAATAAATCTTAATGAAATAATAACACACCACTTTTAATTTGTATTCTTTGTATTAAATCAAGTCATTTTTTTCATATTATGCTACAAAGTCTGTAATAATTAGGCCAATTTTTCTTATATAATAGCTCCATATTCTTATCTGCATTAAATTTGAGCAATAATTTAAACAAAAAATTGTTTGTACAAAAAGTATCTCTATTTCTATTTAAACAACCAGCTAAAACTAAAAAAAAACATTTAAAACATTTTTAGTTTAAAGAATTTTTGTTATAATTTATTGAAAAAATAAAATATATGTAACAAGTTTTAAAAGTTCAACTGAAAATATCTTTTTCCCCTCTTTGTTACAAAAACTACAAAATACCCTGTTTTGATCTAACATAAAAATATATTAAAACAAATTTTCATTAAAAAATCTAAAAGATTGAACACCCTACATTATTTTAATATTGAGGGTGTAACTTTATTTTACTCTCATTTCCTTTTTGACAGGGCTGGTAGCTCATTTTATTTGATGTCAAGACAATAATCAACTAGTGAGCAGTCTTACATAACTCATGAATATTCATGAACTTATTTACATAATGATGTATGTTGAATTGTCTCTGGCTGACCAATCAAAGGCCAGATGCGTATCAAATGATAAAAGCTGGTTCTTGTATTGGCTGGTTGATTTAGAAACACTAAACCTTGCCAATCAAATGGTGTTATGGGAATCACATGACTGCATAAACCAATGATATTTCTTCAAAGTATTGTACATCTCCATCTTGATTTTTGAGGAGTTTTTTCATTTAATTTGTGTCCTTTGTTTTGTGCACTCGAAGACTCCTGAAAAATAGAAATATTTAAAAATCATTATAAATGTGTTTTAAAGTTTTTCTAAAAAAAAATAACCATTTCCTAAACACAAAAAAAAAAACAACATTTAAAACTATGCATGCAGTTAACTTTGTTGAATCTATCAAATTACTATTTTTAAACATTTCAGATTATATATTATTACTAGATGTCTGTAATAACTATATTTCAAAACATTAACCACTGCATTAACTCAAGACAGAAACCATATAAAGGTAAATGACACCTTCACTGGCCAACTTTTAACATGATCCCTCATCTGTAATGGCAACCCAGTTTATGAGAACAGAAACCTTCTACTTCTACTTCTACCATATAGTCCAGGGATGTCATTAGAAGCCGGCAACCGGCGAATTCCGCCGGTTACTTCTGCTTTGGCGCCGGCTACTTCAAAATTGTCAAAAATAATATTTTCACAAAGTTTTCATTTTTTACCATGTCGATGAAACATTGATAATTAAAGAAATTCAGACATAAACGATTCATTTTCTGAAGAACAGAGATTTAAGCATTGACTTTACAGTGTGAAGCAGATTGTTTAATAAAAAGACAACTTTTTAACACTTCATGCACTTCCGGTACTTGTTACACGAGATCGTACATCAATATAACTTTCGGCGACAAAATAAGTTTGTCACTTCATTTGAACGTGATAAAAATTGCCTCCAGTAAATGTTTAATCCATTTATTGCATTAAAAACTTTATATTCCTTTCCAAATAGCTTGTCAAACATCGTTTATTTTTGTAAATTTTCTTCGTCCGCCATTAACTGTTTACTAACTACTGATCGGAAACGGACCAGCTATGACCGAAATCCGTATTTTTACAATAATAACTACGGACTCATGAATGGAAGAGCTGACAAGGAAATTGGTCCCAAATGGAAAAATTACGCATTCCACACACATTAACAGACTTTTTGTTAGATTTACTTAATTAATGTATATAATTCCATATATATGAATTTTTTCAAAATATTGATTAAACTTGCTTAATTCACTCTGGGACTATAATACTAATATCAATATACATGGCCTAGCTTAACTTTGTATATATTTTGATGAGAAACACTGAATTTCATAAACATGATAAACAAGATAGTTTTTTAATTGAATTGTGATTTATATATTATAATTTCTTTATCCTTTTGTCATAAAAAAAAAATTCTTTTTAGTGCTTGATATTAAGTTGGTAGTTTCTCACAAGAACCTATAAAACTTAAACAACTTTGAATTTGAACTTTTACTTTAATTGTATACTCAGATATGAATTGAACAATATACAAAGAACATTATTTACATATGACCCTTTTGTACTATAGGTAGTAAAAACCAAACATTGTAGCACAGTGTGCAAAGGAGCACTTCTCTTTCAAATCTCACCACTTCTCCCTATCAGTTTCAAAAAGAGAAGTCACTTCTCCCTATGATTCTGAAGTAGTGTGAGCCCTGCATTATGCATTTAAGGATGTACTTAGGTCAGGTTTTGGAATTTCTGTCAGATGTTTGGACTCGGGTTTTTTCGTACGATACAGGGTAAAATATTTTGCCCCATGACCCCCATTTTTCTTTTCATATATACTTCAATTAATAACTCATAAAAGGTCATATACCAAAATTTAAGCAGATTGTAGATTTCTTCTCTTTCCATTAGTTTGCTTCTTAACTTAAATGCTCTTGAAGTCTTCTGACTTATAGTATCAATTTTAAATTCTACATTTTTCTAATTTCACCAAAGTACATCCTTAAAGACTCACCTTTTTGCCTGCAACGGTCCAATTCATCATTTGATTTATTGTAATAAGTATGTGAAATTATTAATACTGAGAAATAAAAAAAAATGTTGTCTATGGGTTAGAATTATTTGAATAGTTGCATGTCTACAGTTAAACTAAAAATATTTTCAACTAATAAGATCAAATTTGAATCTTTTCCTGAATGATCACCATGTCTTACAGAGTCATGCCTTCATCATTTTCCTAAAACAACTTCAACTACTTGTTAGCTGAAAGTCTTGATATAGTGATAATAATATTTATGTGATCAACTTTATAGAAAATACGACCATCTTGCTGCTCATTTACCTTATCATCATTAAATAAAATGCTTCGCTGGGCGCAGCTTGATACGACCGCAGAGGTCGAACCCTGAACAGTTGGGGCAAGTATGGACACAACATTCAAGCTTGATACAGCTCTGAATTTGGATTGTGATTAAATATTTGACACAGCATAGGTTTCTGACACAGAAAGAATGTGGTCTAAGAACTTCAATTTTTTTAATTTACCTATTATGGTCCAATGTCCAAAATCAAAATACATGGTTAGATTCAGCATATCAAAGAACCCCATGTATTCAATTTTTGTTGAAATCAAACAAAGTTTAATTTTGGACCCCAACTTGGACAAACTTGAAAACTGGTCCCATAATCAAAAATCTAAACACATGTTTAGATTCAGCATATCAAAGTACCCCAAGAATTCAATTTTTGTTAAAATCAAACTAAGTTTAATTTTGGACCCTTTGGACCTTAATGTAGACCAATTTAAAAAACGGGACCCAAAATTAAAAATCTAAAAACACGGTTAGATTTGGCATATCAAAGAACCCCAATAATTCAATTTTTGATGAAATCAAACAAAGTTTAATTTTGGACCCTTTTGACCTCAATATGAACCAATTTGATAGCAGGCCCACAAAATAAAAAATCTAAATACATGGTAAGATTCAGCATATCAAAGAACCCCATATATTCAATTTTTGTTGAAATCAAACAAAGTTTAATTTTGGACCCCAACTTGGACCAACTTGAAAACTGGGCCCATAATCAAAAATCTAAACACATGTTTAGATTCAGCATATCAAAGAACCCCAAAAATTCAATTTTTGTTAAAATTAAACTAAGTTTAATTTTGGACCCTTTGGACCTTAATGTAGACCAATTTAAAAAACGGGACCCAAAATTAAAAATCTAAATACACGGTTAGATTTGGCATATCAAAGAACCCCAATAATTAAATTTTTGATGAAATCAAACAAAGTTTAATTTTGGACCCTTTTGACCTCAATATGAACCAATTTGATAGCGGGCCCACAAATAAAAAATCTAAATACATGGTAAGATTCAGCATATCAAAGAACCCCATATATTCAATTTTTGTTGAAATCAAACAAAGTTTAATTTTGGACCCCAATTTGGACCAACTTGAAAACTGGGCCAAAAATCTAAAATCTAAATACATGTTTAGATTCAGCATATCAAAGAACCCCATATATTCAATTTTGGTTGAAATCAAACAAAGTTTAATTTTGGACCCCAACTTGGACCAACTTGAAAACTGGGCCCATAATCAAAAATCTAAACACATGTTTAGATTCAGCATATCAAAGAACCCCAAGAATTCAATTTTTGTTAAAATCAAACTAAGTTTAATTTTGGACCCTTTGGACCTTAATGTAGACCAATTTAAAAATGGGACCCAAAATTAAAAATCTAAATACATGGTTAGATTTGGCATATCAAAGAACCCCAATAATTCAATTTTTGATGAAATCAAACAAAGTTTAATTTTGGACTCTTTTGACCTCAATATGAACCAATTTGATAGCGGGTCCACAAATAAAAAATCTAAATACATGGTTAGATTCAGCATATCAAAGAACCCCAAGAATTCAATTTTTGATGAAATCAAACAAAGTTTAATTTTGGACCCTTTTGACCTCAATGTGGACAAAGTTGATAACGGGGCCCAAAAATCAAAAATCTAAATACATGGTTAGATTCAGCATATCAAAGAACCCCATATATTCAATTTTTGTTGAAATCAAACAAAGTTTAATTTTGGACCCCGATTTGGACCAACTTGAAAACTGGGCCCATAATAAAAAATCTAAATACATGTTTAGATTCAGCATATCAAAGTACCCTAAAAATTCAATTTTTGTTAAAATCAAACTAAGTTTAATTTTGGACCCTTTTGACCTTAATGTAGACCAATTTGAAAACGGAACCAAAAATTAAGAATCTAAATACACGGTTAGATTCGGCATATCAAAGAACCCCAATAATTCAATTTTTGATGAAATCAAACAAAGTTAAATTTTGGACCCTTTGGACCTCAATGTGGACCAATTTAAAAACGGGGCCCAAAATCCAAAAACTTAATACACGGTTAGATTCAGCATATTAAAGAACCCCAAGAATTCAAGAATAAAACCCCATTGAAATTGATCAAGAAATAAGCAATTTATACGAAGTATCTTCTTTTGCACAATACTGTGCAATTGAATATTTCTTGCTATTGTGCAATACTGTACAATTGACAATTTCTTGCTATTGCGCAATATTGTGCTATTGGATATTTCTTGCTATTGCGCAATACTGTGCAATTGAAGATTTCTTGCTATTGCGCAATACTGTGTAATTGAAGATTTCTTGCAATTGTGCAATACTGTGCAATTGAAAATTTCTTGCTATTGCACAATACTTATTATATAATAATTTACACATCCTGTTTGGTGTGTATCTCCTACCATATCATTATTATTTGCTTTTAAATATTAATCAGAAATACCCAACTTAAAATGGAAAATTTTAAAAGAAAAAAAAAAGGAAAAAAAGAAAAAAAAAGAAAAAAAAAAATCCCCCCCCCCCCAAATTTTTTGAACCCCCTTATGATTCATCACCCCCAAACTCAATCCCAGCCTTCCCTTTGTGGTATGGTACCTTGCAGTACAATTTCAGAGAGATCCATACACTTGAACACAAGTTATTGTCTGGAAACTAGAAAAATGCTTATTTTTGGCCCCTTTTTGGCCCCCAATTCCTAAACGTTTCGGGCAATTACCCCCAAACTCAATTCCAGCTTTCCCTTTGTGATATGGAACCTTGTAGTACAATTTCAGAAATATCCAAACACTTACACACAAGTTATTGTCATGAAACTAGAAAAATGCTTGTTTTTTGCCCCTTTTTTGGCCCCTAATTCCTAAAATTTTGAGGCAATTACCCCCAAAATCAATTACAGCCTTCCCTTTGTGATATGGAACCTTGTGGTACAATGTCAGAGAGATCCATACACTTTCACACAAGTTATTGTCTGGAAGTTACAAAAATGCTTATTTTTGGCCCCTTTTTGGCCCCTAATTCCTTAACTGTTGGTACCATAACCCCCAAAATCAATCCCCACCTTCCTTTCGTGGTATTGAACCTTATGGTAAAATTTCATGGAGATCCATTCACTTAAACTAAAGTTAGAGTGCGAAAACCAATGTGTCTTCGGACGACGCCGGACGACGCCAGACGACGACGACGACGACGACGACGACAACGACGACGACGACGCCAACGTCATACCAATATACGACCAAAAAATTTTCAATTTTTGCGGTCGTATAAAAAATGGTGTTTGATTAGGACTAAATTAGAGTTCAGGAGCCCCCCAGAATTCAGGATTTTTGCACCATTTTAGAAAAAAATTCTAGGGACCTTGAGCGGCCCCCACACCCCTCACCGTGATGGGCGACGAGCAAGCTCGTCGCACCGGACGTCTATGACGTCCGCAATCCTTGCCTGCTACTTTAATTATTTATCCTCCTACTTCAAAACCTAGTGACATCCCTGATAGTGACCGCCTTCAACAAATTGAAGATTATGTCACAGGAGGAAACTTACAACAAGACATAGATTGATATATATATACAATCTTTAAAAAATACGAAAAAATTAAAAAATGCTTTGTATAATTAAGTATGATGTAATAGTTGAGTTAATATTGATGCTTTGAAATTGAAGATTTGAAAGAGTCTACTGAAGTGCAATTTACAATGTAAACCTTGACCATTAACTTATTTTACTGTAAAATCAGCAATCCAAAAACTCTCATTAACAAGCAATCCAAAACTCTCATTAACAATCAATTTTCTGCCTAAGTGCAGAAAAGTTGAAATTTACTGAGTCAGAAAAAAACATCAATTTTCTTTCAAGATTGATTCAAACTGTTAACAAGTTGTTCTACTTTGACTGACAAATGTACCTGCTAAAATTGGTAAACAGCTGCAATTGTTTATTTAAATATTAAATAATCATTCTATATCAAATAGAATATATTCTGTGAAAGCAGTAGTAATACCTATGTTTTGATCTACATTCAATTGTAAAGTCATCTGTACATTATTTTTATTAACCATACAAACTTGAATTTGTACAAATTCTAAAGACTTCCATTAACAAAATAAAGACAATTTCATACATACATTCTTCAATTACATAGGACATTTTTTGATACAATGACTTCAAATTCAAATTAAGTCTCATTGCAATTTTATAAATTTGCTACTTGCAACGGTCTAAGTAATTTGAAAGAAGCTGCAAAAAAAAGGGTTTTTACAAACAGAGTACAAATATTCAAAAGCACCTGCTATATTTAAAATCCACATTGATTATTGTTTTAAAATATTAGTTAGAATTATCTCCCCTATATCATAGCTTCAGGTAACTTCTTGGTTAATTGCATGTGAAAAAAAACCCAATCTAGCTGTAATTTAACTACAAATATCATATAAGCCAATATTAAAAGTATCACAGCAATTCATAAAATAATTACATGTTTTCTGGCTTTATAATTAGCTTGCATGATTGTATGAAGCTATATATATATATTTTAAGCATCTGTTATCCTTTTTATACATTATCTGATTAAAATAATCCACATTCCTGTATAATATTACATTATGATTTCAAATAATAGATAGGTTTCAAATGACGTAATTTGAGTTAGTTATTTCCCTTGACCCCTACTTTGGAGATATAAACAGTTTCAAGATTTTCTTATATGACTAACCAAATTGAAACATGCGATATACACAAGTCTGATAAGAGATCCTTACTAGATCATAGTGATGAATTAAGCAAGGCTAAACAAAATAAAAGTTCTTCATGAAAACTCATGATTTATGAAGGAATTTGCACACTTACATGTAGACCTCCAACATGGCGACAAAAGGGAAGTAATTCTTCCTCAAACTGTGTCAATCGAAACCTATATATTGCCTTTTTCATCTACAGGTATGTGTATTACTTTGCTGCACAGAAGTGCAGACAGATGGATAACATAAAAGGATTGTGAAGGCATTTAATTTTAGGATCAAACAAGGATGTTCACTATACTGAACAATATCTTATGTAATTCTTTTCTTAAAAATGAATGAGATATTTGTGATCATCAGTGTGTTCCTCCCAGGCCCTTATAGGTCTTTTGTACCATGGTGCTATCTAAATAGATTTTATTATAGAATTAATTATAATTGGCTTCAGACCACAATTATTTAATATAGTTCCAAAGTATTATATGGGATATTTCTTTCTGATTTTTCTTGCTACTGTTTTCTATGAAAAGGTTACTATCTAAGTGGTCCTACAAGTTACATATACATTTAAATAAGTAAATCATGTTTGAAAAATGTATTGTTGAAAGTGAAAGTAGTGATTTGACCAAAGTGAAAGTAGGATAGAAATTTGCCTTCAGTATTTATTCAAGACTCAACTTCTACCCTTTACATGTTTTTAGGGCTCACATGAGAGAAAGCATCAATGGGTTGTGCTGGGACAAGAATATTTAATTTGAATAATACTGGTCTATGAAAAGTAGAACTTATTTCATGTTTGAACTGGTGAAGATGTTTTCATTCAATTTAACAATTATAATGAAAATCGTTGTAACCAATGGTAAATATAATTGTGGTCTGAGGCCAAATGTGGTGCAACAATTTTAGGGAAATAATGCTATTTCAAATTACATGGTGCTATTTGAAAATACTGGGGAGAACACTGCATTATGATCATATATAAATCTTTCAATCAGTTTGAAAAAATTTAATTTTGTAATTAATAATCAGTATTTACAAATGTAGGCCAAATGACCAAAACTGAAAGTCAGCTTGTTTATAGTAATCCCAAGTACCATATATAAATTTATACAAGGATTTGTATATTGAGACTATACAAATCCTTGATTTATATCATACATTTTTTTTTATAAAATATAAAATTAATAATCAGTACTAAGAAAGGCCAAAACTGAAAGCCTTTTTTTTATAATTCTATATAAGACCCTAAATGCCATATATAAATTTATTTTTAAAAATGTGTAAAATATGCTTATTGTAGTAAGGCTAAGTGAAACACAATATATTTCTAAGTCTGCGAAACAGATAAGAAACACATGAGGACAGAGAAACAGAAAATTTATTTGTGTGTTCTAGTAAAATATATTTGATTTTTGACCAATCAAGAGAGAGAAAAAGATTAGATTGCAAGAAATTGAATTTAAAAAATCTAAAGATATTTTGCAATTTGCCTGAAATTTCATTTCTTGTTTGATCTTTAGAACAAAGTAGGTATAAGCAGATTTTATGTTATTATTTTATAAAGCTCAAATAGCGCAAGTTGTTCAAAATGGACTTACTGCATTTAACAGATGATCATGTGCCTTTTAAAATATTCAATATTTTATAGTTCTTATTTCAAGGTGGTACCCAACACCTTGACTAATATTAATTTGGCTCGTTTAATTTTCCTAAAATTTTGACAAAATGTTTACTTTGACCCTTTGACAAAAATATAAAAATTTCAAATAATTTGAACCAACCACTTTATCAGAAAAATTTCATTGGTTATATAGCAGTTTGACAAACACTAATTTTGATCATTGAGAAGCTTAATATTTCCTTAACAATACAACGTGATTAAAACGTTTAGTTGATTTTTAAAGAGTTATCTCCCTGTAGTGTTAGGTACCACCTTAATTTGTTATATTAGAGTTATACTTTTGAATCACAAAAACTAGATAGTAAAAAATCTACCATAAGAATATGAACAGAAGTCCACACCTAATTAAATTTGTTATCTTCACATTATTTCTGCTGAAATAGGTACACGTGAGCAATACATTTTTTTTTCAAATTTCCCCACTAATTCACAGATAACTGATGTGTAACCATAAATATCTTTAATGCTTAGTCTAGAATTTTCTTTTTTTTCAATCATTTCTAAGTTTTAAATTTCTATGATAATGTGATTAATGGTTAATCTGAATATACAGTGTCTTTATTGAAATATAAGCTCCAATTAGTCAACTCATGCAGATACAGAGGAAATCAGTATACAAAATGTGAACTGAATGATCAGCCAGACTTGTACAAACCTTATTCCATCTATCATTAAGACCAATAGGATAGGATCTGTGTCTCCTTTTGCCATTTAAAATAATTGTTTTGGCCATTGTGTACAGCACAATTTTGCCATTGCAACACAAGTGATTTTACAATATGGCATATAAGTTTAAAAGTTTATATCGTAATGAACATGTGTACTTTGTTTCAATATGATGTGAACAACTTCATGTTAAACAACATCAAAGTTAACCGAAAACTTTAACCTGGTACAGGACCGACAAAAGATCAGAATAAGGGACTGACCCACAGACCAGGAAGACGGCTTGTATAGGACCGACAAATGATCAGAATAAGGGAGTGAACCACAGACCAGGAAGACGGCTTATATAGGACAGACAAATGATCAGAATAAGGGAGTGACCCACAGACCAGGAAGACGGCTTGTATAGGACAGACAAATGATCAGAATAAGGGAGTGACCCACAGACCAGGAAGACGGCTTGTATAGAACCAACAAATGATCAGAATAAAGGAGTGACCCACAGACTAGGAAGACAAATTTCAACATAAGAAGTATTTTTAATCCTTCCAATAATTTGTATGATGAGATCTGATTTCACTGTATCTGCATGTTATTGATGTGAATACCCACACTTATAACTACTAACAAGTGTAAAGGGTGTCTGTAAGAATGAAATCACAAAAAACTTCAAACATGCTCCATTTGTTTACCAGATATATTTGTTGTGTGTGATTTTAGTGTCATAAAACAGTAAAACTAACTCTAGCGAGAGACTATGTGTGTATACATAAATAGAAAGAGTACTTGTGTTAAATTTTTTTATAAGTAACTATGTTAATTGCTGTCAGAGTTAATTTGCTATTGAAGATGAATATCACTTACTCCCATCTTCTACAAAATATTAAAAGTTCTATTGCTTGTACGTAATTTTAATGATAAAAACACTCCTAGTACTTTACAATGCTTTATATTTAACAACATTCAGGATTTAATAAATCGATGCAGGCACCATTGACTAACAACAGTCATGGAGAATATAACATCTTCCCGAAGAATACTGAAGATGGGATTTATTTAATAAAATCTCTCAAAAGTCTCACAAGTAAGATTTTCTTGACTATGTGTTGTATATCTTTGTTTGTTAGTCTATTTTCTCATATGTGTCAGTTAAAGGTTGTTGTTGTTGTGTTCTCTTGTACTGTATTTAATAATTTTAGTGATTTATATTATCCTTTATAACATAGAGTTATGGCATGAATATCGGAGAATATTGTCTTTAGACCCAATTTTATATTGCTCGGGGATAGTATTCAACAATATGTACGCAATAATCTTTGAATTATATAGCAACACTAGAAAACCTGTTAAAAACAATTTTTGTCACTAATGACGTCACAAATTTGAAGATTAATTTCTAGTTTTGCAAAATGATATATTATTGTATGCTAACATTTAGTTACGTTCTGTATGAAATATGCTATTGCTATACAATTATTTTTCATTGGTTTTTTGGGATTCTAATATTGCATAACATATATAAGGTTCAATTTGATATAATTGAGATATCTTACCAATTTTTTATCCATTTTTGCCTTGATATCTCTTGCCAAGGTAAAGAAGGCCTCTTCTACATTAATACTGGCTTTGGCACTTGTTTCCATAAACTTAATACCATGCTCAATTGCTAACTAAAATACAAAATATATCAAATTAGAATATAATCTCAGTGCATATAACCATGCATTAAACTTTAGAAATACAAATATACATAACCCTACTCGTTGTGTATGTGATTGTCTCAAGTGACGAGTCTGCATTTCAAAGGATGTCATTTGTTGCTGTCTGGCCTCTTTTTTTTTCTTTTTCTTCAATTGTTGTAGTAAGTTAAGCGCTTGGTTTTTCTTTTGAATTGAATTGTCATCCAGGGGCCTTTTATGGCTTACCATATGATATGGGATTTGCTCATTGTTGAAAGTTGTATAGTAACTTACTTTACTGAATATGTATTTCTTTCGTATTGTATTTATAAAAGCAGGTTCAATCCACAATTTTCTACATAAGGAAATGCCTGTATCAAGTCAGGAATATGACAGTTGTTTTCCTTTCGTTTGATGTGCTTGGGCTTTTAATTTTGCCATTTGATAAGTGACTATCAGTTCTAAATTTTCCTTGGAGTTCTGTATTTTTGTAAATTTTTTTTATATTCATGAATTTTCTGGTAGCTATATTTTTCATGAAGAGAAATACTGGTGAAAATACAAATGGAACAATGCCTCTATCTAACAGAGAACAGTTTCAATGATTGAATAAGCATTGCTATTTTGAAATACTACAGAAGGTATTGACTTAACTCTACTTGCTATTAACAGTAACCCTTTAACTACTTCGTATAATAAGAACCTCACAACCATTATTCAAGAGTTGAGATTTTTTTTAAATACGGCCAAGTTAAACACATGTAAATTCATTGTCAATACCTTATTGGTGAAAATAAGCGCATGTGAAAAAAGAACAAATACAGTATTCTTACTTGAGTGTTTAAGTTTATATTATTCTAGGTGTTGAGAAAATAACTGTCAAAATTGACATATTAATAGATAACAAATTTCACATGTACAATGAATTTTGTTTGCCAGGTAATTTTTGTGCTTTTATAACTATAACTTGCTAAAAGAATTTTAGACAAAAAATTGTCGATTTTCTTTTCAGCAAAGTTTCCTTTTCTTCTTGTTCTTTGTTTGTACATTAGTTTTTATATTGTAAGCGTAAAATACTTTTTCTCCTCTTTCTTTCGACACCATTCTTCTGTCGTTCATATCACATTTATTGCCTAAAACCATCTTCTCCACGTCTTGTGATGCATGCTGGAAATAGAAACAATCACTTTATTATATCATATGACATAAACATATGTATTATATGCTTTAGTGATAAGCAATGTTGCTACAATAGAAGAAATGCTGGAAGAAAATAAAATTGAAAATCTAAAAACTTTTTCAGTTTGACTGCATCTATGTTTCTTTAAAGCTTGGGGTAGATTTTTATAAACACATAAAGCAATATACCATCAGGATTATTACAAGTCATTTCATAATCACTAACCATTTTTTTAGAAATAAAAATCTTCAAAAATTACCAAGTAAAGTGATTCCTGTAGCATATAATGTCAGTAGAATACTGCCTAAAAGTCCTTTTAGGAATTAAACAGTACTGAATTACTTATTAGTTACTCTTAATCATTAAAACAGGTCAACAATGTAAGGTACAATGTACATGATTTTACTTCCTGGTCCGTAGAATGATAAAGTTCAAGCTTTTGTCTTAATTTAGAAAATATTCCAAATAAACATTACTCTTGATCAAAAGATCTTTCTGTCATACATATAGTTTTTTTTCAATGACCAAAAAAGATTAAGCTTGAGTTAATTTGTAATTTTAAATGATTTTTAAGTTTGGTGTCAAGTGATATTTACATTTTCTATTTTCTAATGCCATAAAACTTACATGAGTGACACCAAATCACTTGTTTCAATAGAATGTCTGACTGATATATGATACTTTTATTCAGAGTTTCCTGAATGTAACTTAAATCTATGTACATTTCAAAATCTAACCTAAGAAGTACAGTTGACATTTTTGAGAAGACCTTTTCACTGAGGATCTACCGAACTTGACCCTAGAATTTGTGACACTTGAACTTTTAACATCATACAAAATTAAACTTTTTTAGTGTCAAGACATTGTCTTGTGACGTCCAAATTGTACAGGAACTTCTGTGATGTCCAGTAATGACGAACAAAGAGTTATAAAGTGTATTACAGAATGTCTGAGGAATTGAATTTAATAATTTCATGCAACCATATGGGGATATTTCTCTTATGTGAATAAAAGCAAAAAAATTATAATTGCCATGATATTGATTTGGAGATTTTTTCATCAACTTATATGAAAATAAAAGAACAGAGTTCTAATGTCCCCCGTATTGCACATATTTTATCTATCCAAGGTACAAGGGCAATAACTAAAAAATAAAAACTTTTTTTTTGGTTCTTTAAAACTTTTTATAAATATCTTAAAGAAATGAAAGCCTTCAGAGCAAATGCAATGCCATTTCCATAATAACTAATATTTCCAAGGCGCATTACTCGTTAAAAATAATTGATCATCACTTATTTTCAAAAGTGTCAAAGACATTCCTGATATAAACCTATGATATAAGTTTCATAAAATTCCGGCAATTCTCGATATAACTAGATATCATTGAGATGGGAGCCATCTCTGTGGGCCCCGCTGTGAATAATGTGTGGTAAAAAATTTGTATCTTTATCATTGGACATGGGGTTGTCAAATAAAACCAAAGTTTTTGACCTTGACCTTTGACCTAGGAAGTTGTACATACATTATGACACACCCTCTAGTATTGGTTTATATACATATCAAGTATAAACTTTGAAATCATAACGGTTCTCAAGATATAGAGCGGACACGATCTTTACCATAGGACATGGGGTTGTCAACTAAAACCAAAGTTTTTTTACCTTGATCTTTGACCTAGGAAGTTGTACATACATTATGACACACCCTCTGGTGTTGGTTAATATACATATGAAGTATAAACTTTGAAATCATAACGGTTCTCAAGACATAGAGCGGACAAGATCTTTACCATAGGAAATGGGGTTGTCAACTAAAACCAAAGTTTTTGACCTTGACCTTTGACCTAGGAAGTTGAACATACATTATGACACACCCTCTGGTGTTGGTTAATATACATGTCAAGTATAAACTTTGAAATCATAACGGTTCTCTAGATATAGAGCAGACACAATTTGTTACAGACGGACGGACAGACTGATCACTATAGGGTGGCCGCCATTCGGCAGGGCCCTAATTAGTATATCCAAGGGGCATAACTCTTTCAAAAATAATTAGTCAAAAACATTGCTAATATAAACCTATGATATAAGTTTCATGAAATTCTGGCAAGAATTGTACACATGAGAGCACTAACAATGCAATTTTCCATATAATTAATGTTTTCAAGGGGCATAAAACTCTTTTAAAAATAATTGATCAGCACTGATTTTTGAACTCGTAAAAGACATTGCTGATATAAACCCATGATATAGGTTTCATAAAAATCTGGCAAGAATTGTACATGTGAGAGCGCTAACAAGACCGGACGGACGGATGCACGATATTTCTATGTCCCCTGCAACGTGTTGCGTGGGGGACAATAAACAGATAATGGGTACCCATTCATGGTTTCTGTATATTTCACAAGATAGGAAAAAACTGTTTGAATTGCAGTTATATCCAGTTGATAGTATAACATTTCATCAATGCATGACATTGACTGGATATGATCTAAATAATGATCACTATTTCTCTTCAACTATCAAAGGTCATGAAGGTAGTGATAAACATTGGAAGATATAGATATCAAGTCAGTTCTATGAGGTTTTGATTGCATGAAATGCAATCTCTACCCAGAAAAAACATATCAAAACAAAAAATAAACATATGAGAATGGCTATGCCCAGAATAGCTTAAGTAGATGTGTGACAGTAACTATGTTTTCAATCTTACAGCTGTAAATTTCGTCATAACTGATAAATTCAAAAAGTTGAAATATTAGAAAACTCATACAATGCAATTCCCTCATAGCATTAATTGACACTTCTGTCATGAATAAACAGCACAAAAAAGTTGTTTATCCTTATTTTGAACAATTGAAGATAATTCTCATTTTATTTCTTGATAAAAAAAATATTAAACTAATAAATGGGGGGAGCTGTATTACTAAAAAAAAACTATTTTTTTGGAAGGTTTTTTTGGGTGAAAATAGTTCCTGCTGCAGTACTGCTCTATTGACTGTCAGAAAACATTATAAAGTTTAAACGTAATATGTAATGAATTTGATGATTAATCATTGTTCCAAGGGAAGTAACTCTTGCCATAAAAAAATAAAAACCATACCTCTTCAATATTTCTAATCCAATTTCTAATGTTTTCAAATGATTTTTCATTTGTGATGTCATAAACTAACATGATACCCTGAAATGTATAAAACATATAATAGGTTAACATTTATCCTTACAACTATAAAGTTTTTGATAGCCTTTACAAAAGCCAAATTAAAATTTTCATTTAGTGTTTTCATGAATTTGTTAAGTACATGTAGCAGATTGATTTAAAAAAGTAGAAGGCATGCATCGCAATCAAGATTTAATTGACAACTTTCATATGTAACAGTAAGGTAGACAAACAACTCATGAAGAAGAAGGTTACTTAGCCAACAATCGGCTCGGAAAAACAATACAATGATTATAAGAAAACTAAGTCTTCTGTGAAGTTGCTCAACATTTTTTTTTGTTCATGTTGTTACAGTGTATTTGTACTCTTAGTCAATTTTTGACTTTCAATCTATCGCATTGCTCTTTTATTTCAGTACTTTTCTTATTGTTTCACAATTTTTATGTCGAAGCCTTTTATAGCTGACTATAAGGTACATGTAAGGGTTTTTCCTCATTGTTGAAGGCTGTACAATGACCTATTATCATGATAATTGAATTCTGGTTTCTGGTGGATAGTCGTCTCATTGGCCATGTTGGCAATCATACCACATCTCAAACAAATTTTGTCTTATTGCATATGCTGCAGAATAAATATTCTCACCATAGCACCTCTGTAGTAAGCTGTAGTTATGGTTCTAAATCTCTCTTGTCCAGCTGTGTCCCTACAATGAAAATTATCCATAATAGTATTACATAAGAAAATTATCTCAGATAAAAAAGCATGTAGAAATTGATATACTCAGAAGTCAATTCAGTCCTTTTATATAACTTTGCTCAGTATCAGGACTAAAATAAAATATTGTTTGTTTCCCCAATCCCGACCTACCCTGCAAAAATGGTGCTACTCGTAAAATTTTATTGTCAAAACTAAGTCAAATATTATTTTAATCATTTTGGATTTTCAGGCTTGCCAGATCGTCCAATAATGTTCAAGCTTTTAGGAAAAATAATATTATTTCCCTACCTACCTACCAACACCTGGCTTGGCAGGGTCGGGATTGGGGAAACAAACAATATATTAATTTAGGCCTCAGCATCCGCATAAATGTTTGGATCAATCAGAAGGACAAAAAGACCAAAACAGTAACCTTCATATAATTGAACAGCTTTATTTGATTTGGTTCAATAGAAGAACTTGCATATGAATTGTTGAAGAATCAGTGCAAAGTTCAAATGTACATGTACAATGCTCTTAGGCTGACAAGGTTTTTATTACTGTGGATTCATTTATTTTAGTGGGTGTCAATTTTTGTAGATTATGGAAATCTTGCATTTTGGTGGCTATTTAATTTCGTGGTTTTGCCAAAGTCTGCATACAACCTTATATAAAATGTTTCTTTCATTGAACATTAAAATTTGAGGTTCACTAGTACCAAGGAAATGCACGAAAATTGGTATCCAACGAATAATAATGAATCCACAGTAACTACCTTTTCAGAAGGTATGAAATTCTGTGTTTCAAATCTAATGAATTTTGGGTAATATCTACTCTTAAATGTTTTGGTGAGTAACGAAATCTTAAACAATGGAAATTTGACTAATAGTGTACAGCATTTTCAGGGTTGTCACTAAGGAGGGTCTGGATGTGGGGTCCTTCATTTCTCTATTCTTTATTTTTAAGGCCATTTTTCTCTATTCTTTATCATGTTTATACATTTTTGCCCATTACTCTCTATTCTATCAACTCCCATCTACACCCTCACTAAGAGTAAGACCAATATATGAGTATCTGGACTCATCATTTTCTGAACTGATGATTTCAAAGTTGCATCATGATTGCACAAGCTCAGAGTCCATTTATCGACATTTCATTGAGAAAGTCAAATGACAATAGTATAAAATTAAACTATTTTTATTTTAATATTAAATTTTTTATTTGTCATGAACATGAAGGAAGACTTACATTGACTTAACTGATTGTTTAATAAAGAAAGACATTCAATAATACATATTTTCTTCCTGCTGTTTGACTCACCATGGCTGAAAAATGGTGAGTCCATGGACTTGCCTGCTAAAATCCTAATTGAGAAACTTGAGAATTTTTCATTTTGATGTAGGAACAATGCAATTACCCTTAATAACAACAATGAATGATCATATTTCATGTAAGTGCTGATATGCTGATATGGAAAACTGCCTAAATTTAACACTTAATAACACTTCATAAGTACTTCTTACACTTCATTCATAAGCACAATACTGTAATCGATATTTATGTACATATATACCAATGCAAGAGAGACTGTAGCATTCTGTAATTTTTATGTAATACACCAATATAACATGCTAACACCAGCAACGGCATTTAATAACAAGAGCCTCCTGAGAGTCTGAATCACTCACCTGTCAAAAATTGATATAATAGGTGAAAACTCAAAAGTTAGTAAAAAATTGTCTTTTGAAAGGGTTCAGCTAATGGTTTCTGTCATATCACATTCTTATAGAATAATTTTTGCCCTTACCAGTTTTTGCCTCATATCTAATATAGTGTTTGAGTTAATAGGGGAAAAAAATGAAAATTATCCAAAAATCCTCAATTAACATGATTAAGGGCAATTACTTCTTCACGAGTCATCTGATAATTTTGGTCCAAACAGGTAGTAGGTAGATCTTAACATTCTGAGCATTTATGCCCCTGTCAGATTTCCTCTATTTTTTATAGTTTTCAACATTTAATTCTATCAACATGATCAATACAGTTTACCTTTATGTTCTATGTTTAGTCCATGGCCAGCGACCATGTTTGTTTGACTGTCAGGGGAAAATAAACACAAATTTTGTTTGACTGTCAGGGGAAAATAAATACAAATTTTGTTTGACTGTCAAAGGAAAATAAACACAAATTTTGTTTGACTGTCAGGGGAAAATAAACACAAATTTTATACTTGATACCCTATGAACCATTCACCCAAATTTTGGCTGAAATTGGTTCATTAGTTTCAGAGGAGAAGATCTCTGAAAAAGTTATTATGGCGATGAAGGACCACAACAACAACGAAAGCCAAGTGATGACAATAGCTCACATGGCCCTCTGGTCCAGGTGAGCTTAAAAAATGTATATTTTGAAAAATAAACCCTTAAAGCAAACAAAAGACATTTAAACATTTTAAATTTTCATATTTAAATGCACTTTTGAACAATTACTCTATTTACTCAACTTCAAATCAATAATAAATTAAATAATCTTGTGGGTTACTTTCAACATGTTCAAGGTTTTTCTTCTGCATAATAAAAATAACTCTGTGACACAACATTCACCCATAGTTATTTATATCTTAAACCAATTAAATTTCGTATTTTAATTTCAACATAAGATAAAAACAAACATAATATAAAAACATAAGTCAATATAAGTATTTAATTCTTCCTTGTTTTGATGGTAGATCATGAACAACTTCTTCAGTTCATTATAACTTCCTTAATTTTCTATGTACATTTGTATTATCATAAATAATAAGTGATTTAACTCTTATCGCTAGCTACATTTTGTAATTTGTACTTTGTATCTGCATGAGGGTGTGAATGGGGGTTTACAGAATAGAGAATAATGGGCAAAAAATATAAAGAACAAATGAAGAATAGAGAAAAATGGACCAAAAAATTAAAGAATAGAGAAAAATGGACCAAAAAATTAAAGAATAGAAAACAATGAGATTCTAAAATATAAAGAATAGAGAATAATGGGCAAAAAGTATAAAGAATAGATAAAAATGGCCTAAATAATTAAAGAATACAAAAATGAAGGACCCCCCATCCAGAACCTCCGGCATTCACAATCAATCATATCTTTTTAATGTAATGTTCAACAAAGGTTTTTTGTAAAATGAATTTAATAGGACTCAGGTTCCACATTTTCCTTGTACATTATATTTCATTATACTTTACAAATATTACCAAAATGCATTAGATTTTGAAATTGAGAATTTCATAACTTTTGGAAAGCTTAAGGTAGCCATAAGAAGACTTGTCAGCATGTACAAAATGTACATGATGTACATGTACATGTGAACTTTGAACTGATTCTTTGACATATAAGAAATACATATGTTTGTTCATTTATTGAATAAATTCAGAAATAGTGTTGAATTACATGCAGTCAGGGGTAATACTTATACATGTATAAGTGTTTTTTTTATTTATAGGTACAGGTAAATTATTTTGGAGGTATAGTTATATATATCCCTTAGACATTCAGATTGTTTTTACTTATACATTATATAAATAATAAACTGTTATCACAGAGATATGTCTCGCCTTTTTGTAATTTTGATCATGCAAATGTTGAAATTAAAATAGTAATACTTTAACATGTAAGTTATGCAAATATTCAAAGTTGATGAACCATGACTGAAGGTACATGGCTAAACAATCTCCATGGAATGAGATGTGCCAATGCTAATACAACTGCATACCAAATACCATTGACTTATTATAAGTCGTTCCCTTTAAACAAACCTAAACACAAACATTAACTTGTAAACTATGTAAAAGTTTAAAAGTCAATGAACCATGATCAGGGGTGGGGCTATATAATCTCCATGGAAACGATACTTGCAAATGCCAATAAATTTGCATACCAAATATCATTGAATTAACATTAGCAGTTCATCTTAAACTGATCTAATCACAAACTAATACATGTAAACTAAGCAAAAGTTTCAAAGTAAATAGACCATGACTGAGGGGGCAGGGCCAAATATTCTCTATGGAAATGAGATGTGCTAATGCTTATACAACTGAACATCAATTAACATTGGCCTACCACTAATGGTTCCCCTTCAACTGACCTAATCACAAACTAATACATGTTAACATAGCAAAATTTTCCAAGTCTATAGACCATGACTAAGGGGGCGGAGCCAAATAATCTCCATGGAAATGAGATATGCCAATGCTTATACAACTGCATACCAAATATTATTGACCTACCACTAGTGGTTCCCCATAAATTGACCTAATCACAAACTAATACATGTAAACTATGAAAAGTTTCAAAGTCAATAGACCTTGACTGAGGGGGCGGGGCCAAATAATCTCCATTGATATGAGATGTGCCAATGCTTATACAACTGCATACCAAAAATCATTGACCTACCACTAGTGGTTCCCCATAAATTACCTAATCACAAACTATTACATGTAAACTATGAAAAGTTTCAAATTCAATAGACCTTGACTGAGGGGGCGGGGCCAAATAATCTCCAAGGTAATGAGATGTGCCAATGCTAATACAACTGCATACCAAATATTGACCTACCACTAGTGGTTCACCATGAACTAGACCTAATCACAAACTAATACATTGTTGATGTCGTCGCCGCCGACACCAGAAACAGGCAAGGCGAGACAAAAAGGTCTTATTTTCTTCTACTCTTGAAATTTTCTTGACTGCATTGCTTTAATAGAATGTATAGTTGTCTGTCAATAATAATTGTCTTTATTATCCATAAAAGTATAATTTCATGGAGAATGAAAATCTCAATTGTCTGTTATCTTCAAAATACAGCTCATTTACAAGGCTCCAGGGAAAATTTTTTGAAGGCCTTGCGCAGTGCATCTTCCCTTGCCAAGGGTTACGATCCAGTCCCCTCCTCTCCATCCTTGGCAGATTAAGCCAACATTTGTGATTACTATGCTGCGCCATCTATCAGTAGATAAAAGTCACGCCCATTCCGACTACATCATTCCTGACCATTTGGTAGCTCTTGAACTCTCTTCAGTGTTGAGGTGTAAAAAAGGTTAAGTCTAGTGTTTACAAATTTTGTGAAGCAGAAACCGAAAACATACATTGACATTCCAACATTTTCGCGAGAAATATACACAGCAACTCCAATTAGTTCATTAAAATTGTCACTAAATATAGTCCTATGATTTGGAGGTAAAGACTTGTTGCACAACCAGCACGTGGCAATTGTTTATTTACATTTTCTACAATTACACGTGATCATCTTAAAGGCGCTTTTTGATTGGATGCAGCCAGCAACAACTGCGACCAATGGGAATCATTACCTCATGGATCCGATATTCCATTTTAATCCGCCAAGGGTGGAGAGGAGGGGACTGGATCGTAACCCTTGGCTAGCAAAGATGGGCTCAATGCAGTTACTTAACATCTTTGCTCAATTGATTTCTTTGCTTAGTTCTTCATTTCTTGAGATAAAAGGTTTAACTCTAATTTATTAATTAATGAGCAAACATCAAAAATTCTGTTAAGCTTGTTTTAATCTCCCAAAAGTTCCAAAGTCAATAGACCATGACTGAGGGGGCGGGGCCAAATAATCTCCATGGAAATGAGATATGCTCATGCTTATACAACTGCATACCAAATATCATTGACCTATCACTAATGGTTCCCCATAAACTGACCTAATCACAAACTAATACATATAAACTAAGGAAAAGTTTCAAAAGTAAATAGACCATGACTGAGGGAGTGGGGCAGCGGGGCCCAATAATCTTCATGGAAACATGGAAATGAGATGTACCAATGCTAATACAACTGCATACCAAATATCATTGACCTACCACTAGTGGTTCACCATAAACTAGACCTAATCACAAACTAATACATTGTTGACGCTGACAACCATGACAACAGCATACCTATGTCTCGCTTTTTGACTTCGTCAAGGCGAGACAAGAAAATGCCTATAAATACTCTAGGAAAGAAGCCAGCCTAGATAAAATTACTAAAAATAGAATAGGGAAATTATTGAAACCTATAAATAAACTTTACTGACCATATTTGAAGTTTTATTTTCTTGCCATCCAATTCTATCGTTCGAATTTTAAAATCTATACCTGCAAAGAAAGAATTAAAAATTAAGGTCATTAAATGTGCATTACTCACAAACAGATACAATGTACAATGTTATTATTCATTCAGCATGTACAGTGTGTCCAGTGATTTTGTTTTCATTTCAATGTTTTTTTTAAATTTTTTATACTTTATCTGACTTTTTTAATACATATTTTCTTGATCCAGTTGTTTCCACTTACAATTCACATGATTCAGACATTGAGAGACAGAAAAAAACTTGCCCAATAAATAAACAATAAACCAAATAATTTGGTAAGAGTATATTTTGTTTTCAATAACAGACTGAGAGGATGTCATTTAACCAGTGGCCGAACCGGGGGGTAGGGTCTGGAGGTTGGAACCCCCTTTTTTTGACGATCACTGCCTTGAATGGGGACATATGGTTGGAACCCCCCTTTTAAAAATGGCTGGATCCACCCCTGTTAACATTTCGATTTCCATTTGGAACAATTTTTCATGGGTGTTGACAAATGCACCTACAAATGTATATAAATAATGGCATACCAAGGCATATGATTTGAAAATGACAATTCAATATATCAATAATTAGTGATTACTAAAAACTTTACAGCCACCAGCAATCAAACAAGAAAGGAAAACTGATAATCCTAGTCAATTAAGATTGGAGTCGAGCGCACCTGCCACATGGGGTTTTGAACTTACAACCTCAGTGTTGACACGCTAGTGATACAGTAGTTGGACTAATTACATTGACTTAGACCACTTGGCCACCAAGGCCCCTAGAAAAAAAAAATTGAGTTCTAAAATCAGCCCTTAAATAAGAAATTCTGATTTACAAATTATATATATCTTAATTTCCTCCAATAATGAGTGCATTACCAGTAGTTAAACGCTACTTAAAGTGAAGTTTGAAGATAGGATCTTAAGAACATGTATATTTACAATCAATATATATATATCAAAATTAACCTTTACAAAAATATATAAAACATGAAGAATGCGTAAAAAGAGAAAAATCAGACGTTTCTAAGCCTAAGAAAGTAGCAATGTCCACACAGTATACACAAATTATTGACCAATATTTAGACACCAATATATTTGTACATCTTCAAGTCGCACACATCCAGTCAAATACCAATAAATGTTTGTGATGCAGGCCTTTTGAAACATAGTCCTTTCATCTTCGTCCAGATCAAAGTCTGTATGACAAGATAAGATACATGCTAAAAAGTCTTTGTCAGTTAAACTATGAAGATAAGCACTGGATTTGATTGGACCTATATCTATCAGATCACATCAAAACTTGTCCCTTTCTGACTGGAAAGATTCACAAGAGAGTACGTACGATGTGAAGAGTTATATCACCGAAAAACCTTCTGCATTTGTCGCACAGAAAATACAGTATTTCGTATGGACAGGTGAAGGTACACAGATTGACAATAAAACAACACTGTTCTATAAGTTATGGGTGTGCTGAATGAAGACCTCCTGAAAGTGTATGTATACGTGTGAAGAATTTAAAATCCTTGTCTATTTTTGTCCTGAAACGATGCCTCAGTTTCTTGGACGGCAACTTTGACTTTCTTCTTCCATTGAATGTAAGTCGGGAAATGACCCGTACTCCATGTACTCAGGTAAGTATCAAAGTCTGACAGTCAATAATTGATTAGAATTCTATGTATACAGGAATAAATCTGCTTCACACCGTTATATTTAAATTCCATTGTTCAGGTAAGAAATATCTTCTTCGGAAGCATTGAGTCTTTCATTAACACTAACTTTCCAAGAAATAGCATTTTCCGTTCATCTATGTAGAATCCGGGTCCGTTCGTGCCCAATCACGTTCGCCCCCCTTTCACTTTCGCACCCTACACGTTCGCACCCAAAGTCCGTTCGCACCCTACACGATCGCGCCCAATTTTTATTGGTTTTGTGTTTAATAATTTGTAAATGAGTTTTAGTAAGTGTATTGCTAGAAATATATATTTTTTCATTGTTTCTAAATAAAGTGAGATTCTGACAAGGTTTTTTTTGTGTCATGGTAAATGTATTGCTATAAACATTTTTTTTTCATTGTTTTTAAATAAAGTGAGATTCTGACGACCAGTATTTTATTTTTGTGTTGAATAATTTTTAATCATGTTTAGGTAAGTGTATTGCTCTATATATATATATTCGACCTGTTAGTCAAATGCGTTTTGTTAAAATACACTTTTTCACTTTTTTGGTCTTTTGGAAAATGTTGTTTGTGCTGTATTTAGACCCCTCTAACAAGAAATTTGTTTTGCATGCACAAGTATAAAAATTGCGGTTTTTATCCAACGCAATCATAGGTTTGAACGTTGTTTTCAATTTAGACTTGTTTATATTTTTTCGTTTGGGCTTGTATTATATTTGCCTTCGGGTTTATATGATCCGTTCATCCTATTTTGACTCCTCAAAATTCAAGAGTCTATCCTAAATTGAAGTAAATTGTATGGTTTTCAAATACCGTTTCGATTCCTAACATCACTGAAGAGACATTAATTGTCGAAATCCGGATATGGTGTACAAAAACCTTTGCACCTTATGTTTGCGGTATACCATGTTTTCCGCAAGTTTATTGTTTTCTGTTTAGTATTAAATATAATTAAGATCCATTTATTACATCGGTGATCCGTTTATTTGGCAATCGCCAATGGCAGTCAGCAGGGTTTAAGAACATTTGTTGTTCGACCTGTTAGTCAAATGCGTTTTGTTAAAATATACTTTTTCACTTTTTTGGTCTTTTGGAAAATGTTGTTTGTGCTGTATTTAGACCCCTCTAACAAGAAATTTGTTTTGAATGCACACGTATAAAAATTGCGGTTTTTATCCAACGCAATCATAGGTTTGAACGTTGTATTCAATTTATACTTTCTCTATATATATATATATATAAATTATTTTTTTTCATTGTTTCTAAATAAAGTGAGATTCTGACGTTTTTTTAGGTGTTGATAAAATCTTAATCATGTTTTGGTTAGTGTATTGCTATAAATATTTCTTTTTTATTGTTTCAAAAGGAAATGGGATTCTGACAACCTTTTTTTTATGTGTTGAATAATTCGTAATCATGTTTTGTATAGTGTATTGCTATAAATATTTTTTTTCATTGTTTATGAATAAAGTGAGATTCTGACACACATGAGATCAAAGGAGCCAAGCTGTTAAAAACAATTATCTTTCATGTTTTTTATTTAAAATCTTCAAAGTTTTACTCATACCAAGCTAAATACATGCAGTATTTACATTTAAAGCAAGTTAAAACAACCATGACAACAATCATGATTTTTAAACAATCAACAATAACACCAAATTAGGCTGTGTATAAATACCAATTAGCAGTAATCATACATAATTAACATTTAATAATTAATCATCAAATCAATTTAAAACAATATTTCATTTAAATTCCCGAATTTTTATTTATGAAAATAAAAATATTTTGATATAAACATCTACAAAACATCTAAAAATTTATCAGGTTTTTTAATAAAAAAAAGGGTGCGAACGTGTAGGGGGCGAACGTGTGGGGTGTGAACGTATAGGGTGCGAACGTGTATTGGGCGCGAACGGACCTGATACCATCTATGTATGACATGGTGGACTTCCAGCCATTTAAAGTATTGACCATATCCATGATATCAGATCTAGTTTGCCTTGCCGAGATTGAAGTTAAAATTTTGGCATGGTAGCCCGCAGCGTAAAATTTGTAGCCAATATAAATATATAGATATATACAAGAATAGCAGAAATTTTAGTAGCCCACACCAAATTTTAGGGGCCAATGGCGAGTGGGCCCCTGCTAATTTCAAACCCTGCCTTGGTAGTCCCTGTATCGATTTACACACATATCGCTGTGCACGTTCTAGCAATTAAATCTCGGTGTTTGTAATGTCGATCCACAATTCACCACCGAAAAAAGCTTTTGTGAAACATAACTGACAAATAATACTAATAATGAAAGGATGTAATTCTGATCCCCAATGGACAAACAGAAGACATCTAAATCTTTAAAATACATGAAATAAGTTAAAATGTAGAACCAGATACTTCACTCATCAATAAAATTCTTTTTAAAAGTTTAGTTCTCAATATTTTTTCTTGTTATTTGAGGGGGTTAATGATCTTTAGGCCAAATAAATATATATGTGTGGTTCCAGTTACATCCTGAAAAGAAATAGGGTCGGTAGGTTTCCTGATTCCGGTATTATACACACCCCTACCGGATGTATGCCATTTTCTATATGTTTGGTTGTAGATAAACAGACATGTTACGTTTTTACAATGTAGTTAATTTTGTTGCATTCTGTTATGAATTTGCTGCATATTTCATGTATTTATATATATAATTAGCCATAGTGGATACTTCTAAGGGAAATTCAGATTACAGAAGTCTGTGAATTTAATCATTGAAATTCACATTCAACAAAATGGGATCATTCAAAATTCATTTTTCAAAAATGAAAAAAAAAAGTTCTACGGTCAGGGGTTTATAGTACATTGTAGGGTTGGTCGGGTAACCATGGTAACTAGAACCACACATTCTTTATTTGGTTTTATGGCGAATGAGGTGGAAAATTTTGCCAGGGGGATTGCTACAGTTGGTACATTGTATTTGACAAAGTAAAATTTATACAGTAGTGTCCAGTAATTCTGCCTGTCAGGTAAACTCGCCCACTCCCATTTCTTCCGTAATTGTCACTTCCGTGAATATTTCGTCTGCTATTTTATTCATACGAACTGTACTTATCATCATTGCATGTCAAATTTTAAAGAAAAATCCTTTATTACGAAAATATCTAGTGATATTTATAATACAGTTCCTAAAGCTAACGATAATCATATTATTCATTGTTATTGCTTACAAAACTCATTTCTGACTTGAAATTCTTTTTGAATTATCTGGAATCTCTTTTAATATAAGTGGTCTATTAATAAATAGATCACCTTTTCCTTTCATAAATTTGTGATAAACTGGCCCTCCATACATGTACATATTTACTGCACATGGGCGGATTTACCGAACAAACACCTTTCCGATAAAAACACAGATGACCCACTTGTTTTGTGATTTTAAAATTTATTTCAGATATTTTTTGGGAAATGAGATAAACTACTCAAACAATGTCAAAGTTGATTTGTCAGTGAATCGATTTAAAATAAGATTTGATACAATTTGTATATAATTAAGCAGAAATACATACGATCAAAGCCTTATGTGGGAGGATTTACCGGACTGCATCGTACATGTCGTATATTGAATATTTTTTTCAATAAATTTTCACATACATTTACATCATGTACATGTATCATGTGTATGTTAACATGGTTAAGCATACTATAGAATCATGATAATAACACTGAGCAATTTGTCTTTCCTATTGCAAAAGGATCAAAACTTCTTGTGCTAATGTAAAAATGACACCATTATTATTGAAAAAAACAATGACAATATGTCATTCACATACATGTACATGTATGCTTTAAAATAATGTCATGTTCACAATGATGACTGATGACTCACTCAGCCATTGTTAAGAAAGGTATTGTTATTGTGCAGTTTTTTGTACTACTTATACTGGACCTAGGATTTCGTTATTGGGAAGTTTAATGATTTGCCTTGGTGATGAGCATCAAGCTTGAATGGGATAAAAGCGAATGTTTTTAAGTTTTGTTTTGAAAAAAATACAGGTAAACATTGAGGTACTCCGAGTGACCACTATTAGTTTTTCTCTAGATTTTTACCTATCGTTGATATAAATGTTGAATTAAAGGCATCTTCGGAGAATCTGAATAAAACACAAGTCTTTCCAACACCACTATCGCCAATTAACAAGAGTTTAAATAAATAATCGTAAGTTTTCGCCATCTTGTTGAACTAAAAATTAACAGGAAACACCCTCATTGACATAAATGGAGTGACGTATTCGGAATGGCACTTCCGGGTTTTTTCGGAAGTTTTCATAGTCATCTATGTTTTTATAGAACATTCATTTTTGCGGGAACTTCGAACAGCTAGGAAAAATAAGAAAAAGTATATTTTATATTTAAAGTGAAACTGGAATGCATAGTTGCATAAGAGACTTAAATAAAGATTCATATTCAAATAAAAATAAACTACTCAGACCAGGTCCGTGTAACACTTATCAATTCAAAATTTATATTAAAAAGTTTTCAAATTTTAGTTTTTTGGATTTTTGATCAAAGTTTTAAAATAACAGAATTCCAATTTTTTTTATTTTTTTGAAATTTTGAAATTTTTTACCAAATAATCAAAATTTTAAAATTATAAACTTTGTTTAAAAATTAAATAGTTAAGATATTTAAGCAAACTTTGATAATACTAAAGTATTATATTTATACAAAACCTGAACGTACAGTTTTGATCATTTCGATTTTTGACAGTTTGAATATTTTGATTTTTGATTAAAAAATAGGAAAGGGATAGGACTAAACAGTGGATACCTGTTACAAGAGCGGAACGGAATAAGAATAAAACGAAACGAAATAATATTTACAAAACCAAATCAAAACGAAAACAATATTTTCTGAAAAACTAAATATAATATAAAACAAGAGGCTAACGTGTTTGATCTACAGGATGAAAATGATAAATATGATTCTTTAAGTCAAAAAATTAATTAGTTAGACCTGATTTTGACACACTTTGATTCTCTAAATAAATGAACAGCAAGACTGAGAAATTATTTGTCAACTTTGTGATTACTGCTCTAAATATGGTTATTGATAGTATATGTATGTATTTTTGACTCGGATACCTCCACGAGTGGCTTCAATGATGCGGTACATATTTCAGGTGCGGATCCAGGAATTTGAAAAGGTGGAGGCCTAGCCTTAGCCAACGTTTGGACGATGCTTGTAAAAAAGTATATGAATTTATCAAATATGTAGCACCATTAGGCGATTGGTGACCCTGCCCCCTAAGTCCACCTCTGTTTTTAAAAAGCGAATACAAGGAAACGGGATTTTTAATTTTATTATCAAGGGGTAATTCCGTATTTGTTATTTGCGCATTTGAAACTTATCGTACGACAATCAAATTTGAGGAGGTGTGGGTATGCAGCTACGTCCAGTCAGAATGGGGCGTGTAGAGAGAGTGCCACGCTCTCTGCAGGTTAAGAACTCCTGCAACAACTCGTTGGTTGCCTGTTGCAAGGCAAAATTTCTGTCCCTATCCAATATACCCTCATTTTTCAGTGACGATCTAAAGTTTGCCGACTTTCATCTTGAACGGATTCTATTACAGGACCTTCCTTTTGTATTTATTGTTAATTTGATATCGTCCTGAATGTGCATGAAATATTTGCAACTGGACGTTAAGCAGCCAATACTAGTAATCAATCATTTAAAATAAGCCGTTTATATATACATTACAAATTATATATACATTACAAAGAAACTTAGACTCCCAATAAATAATAAAATTACAGTAACAAAAACATTGAAGTGAATGGATAACAACACTTGGTCAGCACCTCATAAAAAGAAACATTCATGCCATGTTTGGTTTCATTCCATTCAGTGGTTCTCTAAAAGAAAACATTTGTATGTATTTCCCAAAGGGTCCTATGTTAAACTAAGTCCCCCGTTGGCAGCCATCATGGTTGATTGATCGCCTACAAAGTTACAACACTTGGTCAGCACCTCATAAAGAACATTCCTGCCATGTTTTATTTCATTCCATTTAGTGGTTATCTAAAAGAAGACATTTGTATGTATTGTCCATAGGGTCCTATGTTAAACTAAGTCCCTCTCTGGCGGCCATCTTGGATGATGGATCGGCTTCAAAATAACAACACTTGGTCAGCACTTCATAAGGAACATTCATGCGATGTTTAGTTTTATTCCATTCAGTGGTTCTCTAAAAGAAGACATTTGTATGTATTGTCCATAGGGTCCTATGTTAAACTAAGTCCTCCTCTGGCGGCTATCTTGGATAATGGATCGGCTTCAAAGTAACAACACTTGGTCAAAACTTCATAAGGTACGATCATGCCATATTTGGTTTCATTCCATTCAGTGGTTCTCTAAAAGAAGACATTTGTACGTATTGTCCATACGGTCCTATGTTAAACGAGGTCCCCCGCTGGCGGCCATGCATCATGGTTGATGAATCGGCTTCAAAGTAACAACACTTGGTCAGCACCTCATAAGGAACATTCATGCCATGTTTGGTTTCATTCCATTCAGTGGTTCCCTAGAAGTAGTTCAAAATGTAAAAAGTTAACGACGACGACGACGACGGACGACGACGACGGACGCCAAGTGATGAGAAAAGCTCAAGTGGCCCTTCGGGCCAGGTGAGCTAAAAAGCAGAAGTCTTTTGTAAAGTTTACAGAAATTACCAATAAATTCATTGAAATTGTAGAAAATGACTTTATAAGGACAATGACAAATCAGCTTCAAAGTAACAACACTTGGTCAGTACATCAAAAGAAACATTCATAACATGTTTGGTGTCAATCTATTAAGTGGTTTTCTAGAAGAAAACATTTGTATATATTTTCCATAGGGTCCTTTGTTAAACTAAGTCCCCCGTTGGCAGCCATCTTGGTTGATGGATTTGGTACAAAGTAACAACACTTGGTCAGCACCTCATAAGGAACATTCATGCCATGTTTGGTTTCATTCCATTCAGTGGTTCTCTAAAAGAAGACATTTGTATGTATTGTCCATAGAGGGTCCTATGTTAAACGAAGTTCCCCGCTGGCGGCCATCTTGTATGATTGATCGCCTACAAAGTTACAACACTTGGTCAGCACCTCATAAAGAACATTCATGCCATGTTTTATTTCATTCCATTTAGTGGTTCTTTAAAAGAAGACATTTGTATGTATTGTCCATAGGGTCCTATGTTAAACTAAGTCCCCCTCTGGCGGCTATCTTGGATGATGGATCGTCATCAAAATAACAACACTTGGTCAGCACTTTATAAGGAACATTCATGCCATGTTTGGTTTCATTCCATTCAGTGGTTCTCTAAAAGAAATATTTGTATGTATTGTCCATAGGGTCCTATGTTAAACGAAGTCCCCCGCTAGCGGCCATCTTGGATGATGGATAAGCTACAAAGTAACAACACTTGGCCAGCACCTCATAAGGAACATTCATGCCATGTTTGGTTTCATTCCATTCAGTGGTTCTCTAGAAGAAGTTCAAAATGTAAAAAGTTAACCACGACGACGACGACGGACGACGACGACGGACGACGACGACGGACGCCAAGTGATGAGAAAAGCTCACGTGGCCCTTCGGGCCAGGTGAGCTAAAAAAAAGGTGCATGGGGTTCGAACCCCCGCCCCCTCCTGGATCCGCCACTGCTCGTACTGTTTCTACGTTTTTATACAATCATTTTTTTTAGAATGAATTTCTTTTTATTTGCACATGAACATAATAGTAAGTTATACACATTTTATGCATAATATTATATATAAACTGAAGATATACAACATATTAAATAGACACAGCTGAAACAGTTTGGTACATTGCATAATATAATTGCAAGAAAAAGGCTGCTTGGATAGAGAATACATATTTTTGATTATACAATATATATGGTGTCTGTTGTTCATATTTATTTTTATGACAATATACAATCCTGGCTTTCAATGGTTCGGTTTGAGCAATCCTGATGAAGGTAAATCCAGAAAAACGCTTCGGACTCGTGAAATTTTCAAAGTATATATATTTTTTGTCGATTATGATGTGCCAATAAGACATAAATGAGTAAAAGTCGTCATTGAGGGTCAATTTCTTCTACGATACAGTCATTTGAATTTTTTGTAGATCTTGTTTTGCTCATCATGTTTGCAGTTTACAGTTTCTATATCTATATGATCATCTATCTACTGTACAAGCAAACAGAAGTGTAAAAATCGAGGTTAAAGAGCAATAACTCCGATAAAGATTTGAATGCTGAAAATCTGTCTAGTAAGCTTTTAAAAATTTCTCTCTATACATGTATTTATAATAGTGTTCAATGTTATAGCCAAAAATGACAAAACATCGATTGTTATTTGAGGGCAACAGCTCTATTGACGACTTAAGTGGTGGATAATTTTTGCTGTTAAAATCAAAGTTTCTATCTATATTTATTCAAATTTAATTTTATTGCATATATGATAGATCTAAGAATACAACATATAGGACATATACAACATGACAAATAATGTAAATAAAACATATAATAGCCATACAATGCAACAACATAGTAAAGCCCATAAATGACTCCTATAAAGAGTCCTCTGACAATGTTGGTCGCTTGGTAGGTCTTGACATTTTGGACATTTTTGTCTATTTATTATTTATCTCTATCTATAATGATTTTCAAGATATCAGACACTATTTGTATTTTACCCTTATGCTATATCTTTTGCCATGTCGTTCAGGCTGTTTGTCGCTGGTTTCATCTGTAATATCTATAAACTGGAGATTCTACGGATGATTGTGGACAAGTTTGGTTGCAATTTGCTTGAAAATTTAAGAGGAGAAGATTTTTTTCATAAATGTTAACGATTGCCAAGTGAAGACAATAGCTCACATTCGCTTTATATATACATGTCCGAACAATGACAGCACTCGTATATAATTGCATGCATCCGATCTTGTATATTAAGATACAACTGTATTGTGACGAAAGTTAATTAAAACTTTACTAAATTGCGTGCTTGTGTGTTGGTGTTTGTGCTGTGTTGTTGGGTGTATAAGTTTCTGATCGTGCCTTTCACTCGTACACGGACGACAAATGCCAATGATACACTTTACAGGGTTACCCTAGAAATATGCAGGGAATCCTGGTCACATAAATAAATAAATGGATCCTGGTGTAGTCTGACCGAAGTCTTGTAAGTCAACATAAACACAAAGTCGATTAAAAGTTCAATACTGTATTATTCAAAATCCAAAGTAACAG